CTTCACAGCATGCGGGTGCTTTCACACTCCTCCTCAGTCCACACGCTAGTTCGTGGACTGGTCAGACCCCCTCCATCGGTGGATTAGAGCAGAAACTCGCATGCGGTCGTTGATTTCATGATATCGGAGAATATGCCTCCCCGACAAATCCTTCACTCTCCAAAGCCAAAGAACATACTTTAACTGCTTCACAGTGGGTCCAGTTTCGCGGCTCATCAAACTTGACAGTCTATGACCAAGTCGCCTTGCCTTGTCTTCCTTTAGTCCTGAAGTTGGAAACCCCTCTGACAGCAGGCCCTCACGTAGACCTTCTCCCGTCATCAGCATACATACGTCGACACAAACACGTGCCTGCTCATCGATACCAGGTCCATAATCGATTGGAGGTGACCATGTAGGAGATGATGCTTGTGTCCTTGTAGCTTGGAAAGGACTTGGCGTTCTTGGCTCCCTTTGTGTCGCTTGGAGTGGGCTCGGTGCCCGACCCCTAGTAGACCTTATCTCTGGCCTTGAACTTGTGACATCCTGTGTTGGTATAGGCGGCGTAGGCGGTCGTCTCCTTGGCATTGCTGTAGATGACTGACCTCGTACATCCCTCTCTGCATCACTGCTCATAGTTGGTCTCGGAGCCCTTCTGCCTGACTCCGACGAAGATGACTGTACATCCCCATTATCAGGTTGTGTCTGCATGCGCTCCAACTCTCTTTCAATCGCCGCCGTCGTTGCAGCCTGTAGCTTCTTCAACTTTCGCAGTTTCCGTGCACTTGCACCTGGTGTCCACTCATTGCAAAGCTCTGCTAGAAACCACTTCACCGACTCATAGATCAGGAGAACACCCAGAACCATAAGCAATATCATCAGCAAACCTGCCGTATCCCAGTCCACCTGTACTCCCGACCCGGGGGACCTACTTGTACTGGAACTCCCTGTCTCAGATGCCTTTACTGTAGTCATCATCAAGCAGCACACCAGTGCCACCAGCATTCTTGCTGAGACCTTCGCCAACGAAGACTTAGAGACCATGTACTTTGGCTCCTCCTCAATGTTCCATAGCTGTAAAAGTGCCGCTGTCCTCGCTTGACTAAGAGCCTTTGTAAGAAGATCTGCTGGTTGTCGAACACCTGGGCAATGAACCGTTGTGAATAGACCATGTCGAATCTGCTCAAGAAGCCAGCTTGCCTTTATTTTTAGATGGCGCGTTCTCCAGGATGAGGATCCCGCAGTTATGCTCAAGGCCGCTGTTGAGTCGGACGCGATCTCCCGAACCTCGACAAACTCCCCCACGTCTGCTAGGATTGCTTCCACCCCCTTTAACGCTATTGCACCATCCACTATTGAAATCAGCTCTGATTCAGCTGTCGATAATGTAACCATCTGCTGACGGCCGCTGCACCACACTATTGGCACTCCGCCGTATACCACGACCCAACCACCATGGGACCTCTCTCCTTGTGGTGCAAATGCTGCATCACAGAACATAGTAAGCCCTGTTCCACTCCAGGATACTGTGAGCCCATAGGTTGAAGTACGTTGCAAATACCCCAGGACTTTATCTCCGATCTGGATTACACGAGACGGACACCGAACACATAGTGCTGCCATAATACTTGTTGTAAATGCCAAATCCGGTCTCGTCCGCTGCGACACCCATAAGACTTCACCTGTAATTTGCTGCGCACGCCGCACCATCTCAGGACCACAATCTCCAACATCCTCTGGCAGAACTTGTAGCTCTTTGGTGATTGGTACTTTATCTCTTTTGCACGACTCCACTTCATGAAGACGTAGTAGCTCTGTAATGTACCCATGCTGTAGCACCTTGATGACAGGAGATTGCTCAGATTCCCTTTGAAGCTCCATACCCAGAAACCGGATTGGATCCCCCTCTCCCAGGAAGCTCAGCTCTGACGTCTCCCACACCTTCTTGATAAGAGCCCCGATTTCTTGGACCAGTCTCCTCGGACCAAACAGCATAAAGTCATCGACATAAACCAACATGATGAACTCAACCTTCCCCTCTGCGTTCTTCAAAGTCCACCACGAGGTGATAGCTCTTCCTTGTTGCCACTTCAAACCCCTTGGAGGAGCAAGTGCACGTAGCGTATCATCACGAAAATTTCCCCACAACATAGGGGCCTCTCGTAGTCCATATAGTGCACGTATGAGCCCCCACAGCTCCATACGCTCAGTCAAGCCAAGCGTTTCCAGCAGCCTTGGCGGTTGTGCCACCACAACTGGATCTGAGCTGCATCTTCCCAATGGTGTCTTGATGAACGCTGCAACCACATCCAGGATTGCTATGCTCCAGCTGTTTTTTGTAGCCAGTGTAAGCCCTGTACGGACTGCTTCTGCAGGCGCTGCCTCTGTGTACACCTGGCCTCCATCGTTGGACGCCATGTTCCCACATATAACGAGCCGAGCCTTGCGTTTGTACCACGACCTTGGATCGCTCAGAACCGCCTGATCGTTGGGTTTCACAGTGAACACGAATTTCATTGGTAGCCTTTGCACCCTCGGCTTATTTAGCCATGTACGCCTCTCCTCTGTTCCTGGTAGCAACCTTTGAACTGCTAACTCCACACCAGCCATTTCCTTCTCTATTGCCGGTCGCCACGCTTGTAGGTTTGCGTACACTTCTTCAGGACTCACCGTGTGCACAACATCCAGGGGTCCTTTTAGTCCACGTAGCACTTCTTCTATCCTTGCTGTATAGCTCACTTCCGTCTTTAACATCCGTGGGCAGTTTTCTTGACTTGCTGCTGCATCCAATATCTTCACCAGTCCCGGCTCTAAGTCCAGATACATTGACCATTCCACATCGTCCTCCTCCTCAGTCAGTGATTCCAGCTTCCTCTCCTTGATGTCCAACTCCGGGCCTTCAATACTCAAGTTGCCCGAAAACTCTGGTAGTTGAGAAAGTGGAACTGGAAACCCATAGTCATGAAGAGCGTGAAGATCGTCTTGTGATAACTTTCCCAGACAATTTGGTGTATAGGCGATAAGCACTGTTCTGTCACCCTCCCACGCATTGACTTCATGTCGTCTCTTGGGACCAAACACGATGCACTGATCCTGTCGTAGAGGTAGTAGTTGACCATACACGGATGTGCTATTCACCTCACGCCGTTCGATCACACCCTTAACGATATCCCCCGCCGTCAGCTCAACCCATAGCTCACCACCTGCTTCAGGGCGATTGATTGGGATGACATAGTTCTGGGTCTTGTAATCATTGTTGAAGTCCTTGTGCATTCCCCGCACACCATTGTGGGAGACCATGACTGAAGTGAAGGTAGCATCTGGCTGTATTTCTACCACCAACTTGGTAAGTACCTTTGCCACTTGAGGATACTCGACAAGTCCTGTAAGCCAGCCCACAGTTCCACCATGTCTGTAAACACCGAACTTCTTTTTCTCAAAGAAACCTAACCGAGCCAGGTCCTAAACCAGCTCAATAGCCTTTTCACATGACCATTCCCGTAAAACCTCCTCCGCTCCGGTTGTAGCTAGTGTACCTGCATCTTCTGAGGAAGCCGTAGTCGCTCGCATCTGAACCTTGTCTGGACTAATTTTCTTATCGATCCTCCTCCTGGGCTTTTGTTCTGTATCCACTCGGAAATCACCCTCTGGTTCCCCTGGATCTACAAGGTCCGGACGAACATGCATTGTATGTAAAAACTTCTCCTTGTCATCACCATCTGCGGGTATGTACACCAAATGTCCATGATGAATGATCGTGCTAAGTCCCACGTATCTTCCTTCCACCCACCGGCTTTCAAGTCCATGCTCTCTTCGTAGCGGTCCAGCCTTGTCGAATGCCTTTTTCCGAAGATGTACTTTAGCTCCAAATGGTGCCGCCAAGTGAGTTTTCCATCCCAGCACTCGCGCTCGTTGTTCCGCTGCTGCCGTAGACGCCGCTGTAGGCCATAGTCGCAGGGGAAGTCCAGACGCCCTTATTAACGTCCGAATTCTGTCCTTGACCCATCGGACCGTTGACTCAGCGTGACCATTGCCTTGCGGTACACTTGGTTCTGACCATGTTCCATATACTCCTTGATCGCGAAGCCAATTTCGGAACCCATGGTTGTAGAACTCACCCTTGTCGGCGTGAAATCGATAAACTGGAAATCCATGGTTTTGTAAGTATAGCACCATGTCTTGTATTCCGCGCTTGACTGTAGCTGCTTGATTGTTTGGAAGAGCTGTCGCAAACACCAGGTGAGTCATTTCTGGAGCTTCACAGTCACCATCTTTCATTACTGCGTCCCTGGAGGCTTCAAGCTCTTCTTCGGAACCCACCTCTTCGTCCGCAGCTTCTGATGGTTCATAACTTCGCATCTCCTCGTCCTCAGGTCCATATTGCAAATGTGTTGCTTCATCACCAACAACTTCCACTTGAGGACACTCGAGGGGTAGCTCAGTCCCAGACCCAGATTCACCAAATAACTCCTCCATGTCCTTCTTTTGCTCATCTGTTAGCGGTGGTAGTAGATCATGTTCACGTACTTCTGCCACACTGGGGGTTGGTTGCCCAGTATAGTCCTCGATATATTGCTTTGGAACCAGGTACTTTCCCACGAGAAGATACTTGAGATTCTTTCCCAGGGTTCCCTTTGATGTAGCGTCTAATCCTGGAGATAGAGGACCAGCAACATCCGCGGTTAACACATAGGCATCCGGATGTCGAATACGTCTGTGCTGCCTTCCGACTCCCTTGGACATCACACATGTCACGCAGTCCTTTCTATATATGGCATGATTTGTTCGAACATGTTCCTTCCATTGCTCTGGCGTCATAGCACACACCCGTGGTACACATCGAGTGTCATAGTACCAGAAGCTAAATGCCACCACCACTGCGTGAACTAGTCCCGGTGCCCACACTGCTTCATTGTCTGGCGCTTCAGGTACTGCTTCACCTTCTCCTACCCGAACGTCAGCCAGAGCCATTAAGTTGTTAACATTGGTTCCCAGTGTAGTAGGATTCCTGGATCTCCCACCCATAGCGCCTTGATCAAACGAGACAGTTTGCAGACCATTTTCCCGCTGAAATGACTTCCACATACGGGTGTCCCAGAAAAACACACGACCATCCATTGTTGGGAGTCCTAGCTCTCGATCAAGTCTTGGACGTTGTACAGCTTCCCAGTAGTGTATTGTCTCATACCAACCCGCAACACCACCACGGCCTTCTGCAACTCTGGTTGCGTCCTCGTACTCGTTGATCCTTGCATCCTCTGCACCTCGAATCTCAGGAGATATCCCCTCCGGATACTCGATCATGAAGCCCACCTCCCTACTTTTTGCTGAAGGGGTTCCGTTCACTTCACGACCCGCCTGAGCCATTGAGTATAACCACATCATACGAGCCACCAACGCCGTAGACTTATTGTCCCTTCGTCCACCCTTTCCTTTTTGAAGTGCACGCCCGGGTGGACCTCCAAAGACTGCCTCGCTCTTGCCCTCCTTGGCTCCCCATAGCAACATACGCCATGTCTCCGCCCGGAACAGATCGTGGCCCTGACATCGCTCAATGTCCAACTCAACCACAGCTGTATCACCTTGGTCCAACTTGAACATCTCATAATGTCCCTCCTTTCCAGCGAACAAGTGCACTATCCTATCCACCTTTTGGAGGTCAGCAGTTTCCTTTTCTGCGCTCTGTTCAAGTAACCCAGGTTCTTCATGGTGTCCCAGCCAGACCAAAGTCCTGCAGTTGGTATCATACCAGACAAGCACTCTCCTGGTAGGTCTGCGAAAAACGGTGCGTTCTCTCACTGCTCGTAACCCCGACTCAAATGCACCCTTTGCAACATAGTCGAACAAGTAGTACTCCCAGGTGTGCTCCATTGCCACGGCCGACACCTTCAACTTGTCCTGTGTGGTCAGGACAGAATTGTTGAGCTCCTCAACTTTGCGATCTTCTAACCGGGCAATGAGTGCTAGCGCTTCCATTTCCGCTAACTGAGGACATCCACCATCCACTTGCAAGGGTATTCGGACTCCTTCAGGTGATTGTAGATAGCACTCCTTTGGACTCCACATCATCGTGTATCCCAGCGTTTCAATCAGCTGTCCCATTGGTACTATAGTCTGGGCTTGAGGACCTGGAAGATGCTGCTGATTGACCTGAACATCTCTGTAAGGCATCAGCAATGTACCCACATCTGAAATCCTCATAACCAGCTTGTAGTTTCCCGCTAGTTGTACCATCACCTCCGACGACTTGTCCCACTCCTCCTGGGACGCGGCTGATCGAAGGCTGTGGGTCGCTCCGCTATCCACCAGAGCTGTAGCTGACGAATCTGCCGAGCAAATCCGAATATCCCTCAGCTTCAACACCTTCAGCTGTGGCCTTGTTTTCTCCGGTGAGGTGTCACTCGCTTGACCATCTGTAGCCGCTGGGTGAACTATCTGCTGTGCCGCCTGGATCAAGGTCTCCAACGTCCACGCCGTGCCCGGTATTGTCTCCCCTGCAGACGAAGGCGATGTTGACGACGCACCCGCTGTAGCCATCGTACTTTGAGCTGATTGTCCCGTGGCTGCAGCTGGCGGCTTGTGAAGACCATCGCGTGCCCCCTTAGGTTGCGGCCTTCCCACCTGACAGTCCTTTTGTCTGTGAGCTTCGGAACCGCATCTGAGACACTTTTTTGCCCTCACATCCTTGTCCATTCCAGCCATGCTGTGTGAGTATGTGCACTTGTCTCCTCGCTTGCACCCCGATGGCTTAGCAAAATATCTGCACAACTCGACTCCTCCTGGGGGTTTCGCAGCATCCTTTGCCTTAGGCTGCAGCTGTGTGTCCACTGCCCGTAGCTTGGGAGCAGACATCCCTGTCCCAGTCTTGGCCGTAAGCATTGCCTCGATCTCCGCCTGCAAGTGCCTCTGATAAGCCATTACCTGGTCGGTCGACGGTCGAGCATCCAGTCGTAGCGTGGTTCTCAACATAGAGGTTCTGAAGCATGCATCTGCCGACCCGTCAATGTGCTTGGAGGTAAGATTCAGCAGCCCCCTTGCTAGGACTGATGGGTCAGGTGCTGTCATCTGCATGGTTCTGCAGCGCTCCATCCAGCGAGGCCATGCTCGAAGTACCTTTAGCACACTTTCCAAGCCATCTCCTCCTGTGTAATCGCCGGGCGCCTGCAGCTGCTTGAGTACTTCTTGTCGTTCTGCAGAGCCCCCTGGTTGAAAATGCGTATACAACCTGTACAACATCTTGACACAATCTTGCGTGCACCTTCTTGACACCATATCTGCACGTAAATCTGTCGACATAGCCGATAGCAGCATAGACGAGGCCCTTGCATTCACCCTGATCCACTTGCCTGTACACCACTGCTCAGCGCCTTGTGGCTCAATAGATAGCTTCTCCAATGGCGATGCGGCCAACCATCTAGAGTAAGTACTCTCCACTGCACCCAGAACACCTTGCGCTTGCGCTACCCTCGCTAAGATCAGACATCACTGACCCCGAGATTTCCACCCAGTCTTGGAAGGTGATTGCTGCATCCATAGCTGGCGCACCTTCTGGTAGCGGAGCCAACATAGTCGGTCCTGGCTTCACCAACTCAACACCTTGTGCAGTTGAAGCCTTGCTAAGTGCCTGCGCTTGTAGTTCTTGTAGTTGCTGAACACCTCTTGCTAAGACCTCTAGAACTGGAGACCCATCCGGATCCCTTTGCTCTGTTCTTGGGGGTGTTGTACTTCTTGGCCTTGCATCCCACATCCTCCGTAGTAGACCCGACACCTCCCCTGTAGACTTACTGTCGTCCTGCTGAGAAGCCTTAGGTGGTACAGGTTGCTCTCCAGGAAAACTATGAACCCCACGTAAACCTTGATAATCTCGATCATCCCCATCTCGACGACGAAGATAAAGAGGTGGTAGTGTAGCAGGTTCATGTAGATCCTCCTGTGTTGTATGCTCTGCACCGTCAGGTAGTGGGCCAGGATTCTCACTCGGTACTGGGTAGCCTTGAAGGTTTCCCGGATCCAGCTGTGCTCTTGTAAGATCACCTAATAGTCCCCGAGGTGGAGGAAGTAGCTCTTGCATGTTACCATTCCTCTCTTGCTCTGTCCTCAACCGAGCCCTAACTTCCAACAACTCTGCACTCAAGCGCTGATTTGCTTCACCATACTCCCTTAACTGTCCCAAAACTCCCTGTAACTGTCGCTGCACCTCCGCTTGTATAGCCTCAGCCGGTATCGACGACGAAGTTGGTGGGGACGGAGCAGGTGGAATCGCTCGTGTGCGAGCTGGAGATCTCAACCGGAAGGAAGAACCCACCGGCGGCGGGCTTGGCATTGGACTGCTTCCTGGGAAAGGACTCGGTGCCAATTCCCCAGGTCTTGCACTCTGCTGAGTAGGTGCTTGTAGAAAACTTCCCAGTTTTAATACCCACTTTGGAACGTCTACGCCCGATAGCCAAGCAGGTTGCCCGACTCTACTTCCCATAGACGATTTCGGTGTCACAT